TACACCCAGAACACACTCAATATTTGTTAACACAGTAGTACTGCAGTTCACAACGCATCTTCAGAATTTAGATGCAGTGTTATTTTTAAATGCAGTGTATAGAGGAGAAAATCAACATCTCTCAAATTATTTTTCTCTACATATAAAATATATATATGCTGTTAAAACTCTACAAAAGGAGCAAAAACATATCTAAGGATTCAACCTTGTGAAAGTTTATGTCAACATTGAATGCGAGAGTTGATGGCTTCTTCCTTTAGCAGCAAAACCTGTTCTTAGGTATTTTATCCTCCAGTATAGCTCCCCGTGCTGTGAACATTAAAGAAGAAATTTCACCAGTGACCAGCAACAGGAGGATATCTGCATTTCAGTTGAATATTTTGTGTCATGTGTAGATATTAAAAAGAATTATTGGAGCATGAGTCTTAATTGTACAAAAACCTAGCTATTAGATGTCCCACTGTGAAAGGCACGTACCAGTGGGGACAGACACAATCCTCTCGGCTGTGGGCAAACGGAAAAGACATTGTGTGCTCCCTGCCAGTCAGCTGGAAGAGGCCTCATCTCCCTGCTTTGCTGCTCCTGGCTGGCATTACCATTCATAAGTGAAGTCTCGTCCATGCCTGGCCACTGCTGGTGCTCCGCAAAGGCACCATGACAGCCCAGGAGGACAGCTATTAATGAAGGAATCCAGCATTTAGTGGAAGACCCTGCTGTGCCTCTCCCGACACTTTTGGGTTTGGCTTTCCTTTCAGCTCCCCTCCAAGCTGCTGCTGCTGCTGCTTTTGGAGGTTGATACGTAGAGACATGAAAGATGTCCAGAAAGCCTGTTTTTCCCACAGGAAATCAAATTTTTGAGAAAATGTGATTTTCCATGGAAAAACTACATTTTCCAAAGTAATCCCAGCAAGCCCAACCCAAAAGATGTTTTGATGTTTTCGAGAATATTTTTTTAATTAACTGAAAAATGGCAATTTTCCCCACGGAAAACACTCTCATATGTTTTTTTGAAGCATTCTTAACTCCTTACTTTTTAATATTTGTTCCATTACTGCAGTTGCTTGGTGTCAGACTGCTTTGCTCAGTGTTCATTTTGATGGTAAGTCAAGATAAGGCTTCTTTTCGCAACATTGAAAAGTTCTATTTAGTTTATAAGAGCTCTGTCATTTTTCACAAGTTGAGTTTGAACTACAGTTATTGCTTTAAAAATTTAGTTATCCTCCGTTGGTGACAGCCACTAACCACAGGAAAAAAAGTACACCTATAGTAACATATTTTGCTTAAGGTCATCTTGCATTAGGTATAACATCATTTTAAACTGGTGACTCCATTTTGACTTTTTAAATTAATATATGATGTTTAGCACTCCTATAAGGAATTTATTACTATTTTGCTGTCTCATACAAATAATAAAATACTAGATTTGTATTCTCTGAATTTCTTTATGAGTAAAAAAAACCAGACCAAAACCCCAGGGAAGTTACATATCTGTCTTTGCTCAAGCAACCAGCTCTTGAGTAATAAATCACTTATAGCTGTGACAATATATTTTCACTTAATGCCAATAAAACATTGACGGATAGTATTTCAGAGTGACTGTATTATAATCTCTTCATATGATGTCCTAGCTAAATAACTGTTGCACTTTTTCTGCTACATGTATTTTCAACTGTAAATACTTTTTTAATTACACAGTATATAGTTCTGGGTGGAAAGCATGGGTTCTGAGTGTGTCTTTTGGTAAACACTCTATGATCTAATCCAACATGTTAGATAATAACAGAAAAGAGTTCCTCCCATAGGATGCTCCTCGTCCGAGAAACAACTTAAAGAATTGTGCAGCGGCATTTTATTCCCAGTTCTGGCTTTTCTTCTCATAAAATGCCTCTTACTATTCTTTGTGGAATATCCTGCTTCGCATCGCTTTGCCTGTGGCTACTAGACTTTTTAATTATCATCTTCAGTGTTGGACAGTTCTGGACTGGAATCAACATAATTGAAAGCTTCCTTGTTTGTGAAAGTTGAGCTCAAAGTTAGACTGTGTCGTGGATTCACAGGCGCAAGTTCATTTAATACAATATTGTCACTTTTTACAAGAGTTGCTTTGTCCATGTGTTCTCTGCTATACCTGGCAACAACAGCATCAAGGAAGTCCAGCTTTGGTGGCAAAGTCCCACTCTCAAATAAGTATTTGGCTAAGTAGGAGACTATAATGTTAGTAAAGAAGGAGGTAAGCATAGCAAGTGTTTTAAATGGGAACCTCTGGATATAGATATTATTTTCATCTGGATAGCAGCCAGGATAGTAGATCAAGGGCTGAAGGTAGAGGTACGGTTCTCCTCCGGTTATTCTGAGAACAAGGCCAAATAAGTATCCTGCAATGGCACCATAGGTGTTGGTTCCTTTAATAAACAACACACACAGGAGCTGGGGGAATATGATGATATAAACAAGATCAGAGCTGAGGTACCACAGGCCGTACACTGAGGAAGCTAGCAGTGCCATTGCTGTTGCTGATGCTCCAAACAGAAAAACAGTGATTCTCATGACCCACACGATTTCCCTGTCTGAAGCCTGCAAAGAAAGGGCAGTGTTAGGCTGTGTTTTTTTCGTAGCAATATATCTATGCCTACATTTCTGAACATAGCCTTTTGAAGATACTACATCGTAAAAGGAAATTTTGCATTACATATTCAATCATGTTTACAAACTAGTATCTCTATCTCCATCTTAAGCACAGAGAAAAAACCCAAGAGTTATGGTTGCCATTCCCAAAGTCATTAATTTTTGAGCATAAGGAAAAGTTTGATAACGTGTCAAAGAGAAAAAACACAGCAGCGTGTTAGAAATAACTTTTAAATGGCTCAATCAGAAAAAAATGTGTCAGAATTTCTTCTCCATTTCCAAAGAAAAAGTCTGACTCACTAGCCCTTTCTGTTGTCAAACGATTTCCTGAAAAATCAATAATTCAGAAAGATGTTTCATTTTGCTAAGGGTTGAAGTAAAACTTATGGTTGCAGAAATAATTAGGAGCTGTTTGGATAAGCTGCAGTGGCATGAGATCCCTTGGAAGCTGTCTCTCCTGAGCTAGGTTTTTCACCTCTGTCGTCAGTCACAACCATAAATATCGTTATGACTTTCAGTTTATTCAATACACTGTTAGGAATGAAATGCTATACTTTTTCTAGTCATAGACAGGAATGTAAAAGAGGTGTTTCATTATGAAATTACAGTCTATGCATCACCTAGTTAAGGTCTCACCTAAAATTTTCTCTAAAAATAAAAATGAAAACATAATCTCACATTTTGCCGAAAGGAAAGCTGGTAAATGTTCCGAGCAAACATAGAACTTGCTGATAAAATTGAAGAGTCAGCTGATGACATCACGGCAGCAGATACAGCGCCAAGGCCAAAGAATGAGATATAGACTGGACAAAGGTACTGGAGTACGATCGGTAAAATCATATCTGCTTCTTTTTTAGTCATGGGGTCAGGGACACCATACTCAGTCTCGTTCCAAGCTGCAATATGGACATCGTTATGTTATTAGTAATGTTAGTAGTCATCAGCTACAGCATCTTTTGACTTCATGTGTAGTGAGCCACATTTTCAATGTATTGCCACATTTTCGTTCACATTCAATAATCAAACTGTTGCTAGGGCTGGACCGACAGCATTTCAGAGACACATTGTCCCACAGGTTTCTGTTAGGCAGATTTAATTCTGCTCAGGATTTTTCCTTATCTCTGACAAGCTAAGTCTGACAACAGCCTGTGGTTATCTAGTAGGAATTTTAATGTTAAGACTTTGCATTGCTCATAAATGTCATTTTCCTCAATAAAACAAGTCTGCGATCCATGTTTGTTTGTGATACGTTTAACTATTCTTTTGGATTACAGACTTAGAGCTCAAAGCCATGTGTTAAACATTTATAACAGTTTAGCTACATGGTCACTGTGATAGGGATCACTCTCACTATAACAAAGAACTTGATAAGGATGTTTTGGTTAAGATAAGAAATTCCTGATAAATTAATACAATACATACAGTGTTATTTTGCAGCTGTTACTGTTAGGACCAAATAAAAGTACCAGAGTCTAGCTCAAACATTAAATAGAAATATTACGTCTGTAGATATCTAGAACATGCCAAATGAGCCACTGGAGAAGCAATTTCCCCTGGGAGAAACATCCTATAATCTTATTTTTCAGTGTAGCGTCCTGTTGATGAAGTCATGAGTTGATTAATGATGTCACCTGGCTAGATTATATCTAACATGAGCTTTGTAGGGTTTTCAGACATTCATTGTACTATTCATTTTTTACCATTTACCTGTAGATGCTCCAATTGCACCAATGAGTACTGCAGGAAGAGCCATCACAAGACAGCCAAAAGCAGCCAGAAATGACAGAACTTGAGCATACGTGGCAGAAGACGAGGAAAGAACTCGCTGGAAATACGCTTGCCATGGGATTCCTCCTAATGTCTGCAAACACAACGGGCAGCATCCTGTCATTTGGGGCTAACTCTGGATTTTTTTGCTATCACCACATAGAGAG